ATTTGTAAGTTAAATATTTAGTTTATAAACTCTGACATTTATAAATGTATGAATCATATGGTGAAAAACTGACTTTGAAATATAAATCTGTTCTTTTTTTCTTATAAAAGGTTAAATAAAACTAAAATATTGGTGGTAATTTTTGACTGTGTAACTTTACAAACGGCACCCCGTAGTGAGGGATTGTTAACACCAGGTGCATTTTTGTTTTTCCAACACAAACTGCATTTTAAAGCTTTTAATTCAAATGTTTTGTTATGGAGGGCACACTCATAAAACCTACATGAAGCAGATTTTAATGGTTAGTTAAATCCCTCGTTYGCAGAAAACTTGCTGCGGTGGGTGAACAGAGCGAGAACTCTGAATTCATCGAGCAATAAATGAAACAACATGAGTAGGTGCTGAATCTGTTTGACCAAGTGAAGCACAGAGGAACAAACAAAATCTGCAGACTCATGCTTCTAATGCTTTTACAGCTGGTTCAGTAAAGCACAGCTTTCCATAAAACCAACAATGTGATAAGAAAGTGTTTCACAAACTTATGGCAGGGCAGCAACGAGACAGTTTTTAATCCTAACACCACCGTTTACGACTCAAACAACAGAAGTGTGTAGTGTGGTGCAGCAGGGACCTTCTTCCAGGCAGCAGCTAAGGCTCTGTGAAGGCCGTATGTTCCCAGGACCTGCAGACCCTCGCAGGTAATGTATATCTGCCTGCACACAAAGATGAAGGCTCCACAAAACGCAGGAGTCACATCAGATTCACTCAGGGACGGCAGGCTTTTCTCCAGCAGCTTCAAGGTAAACTGAGCGACGACGTGAGCAGCAGACGTTCTGCAGAGACACAGACAAGCAACAAAGAGAGGTCCCAAAAAATGAAATAAAAACATGCATGTACATACTTACTGCTGCTAAATGATGTTATAAAGTTCACTGAAGCTAGGATTGTGAACCCTAAATGTTGTTTTGAGGAGCTCTACACGTTTTTATTAATAATAAAAAAAAAAACTAATGGTGATAAAAGTGCTCAAATATTTGAATATTGCTTTTTTACAGGACAAACTGCAGATAACAGGCTAGTCAGTGTCAGAC